TGTATGTATGTGTGTGTGTATATATATATATATATAGATAGATAGATAGATAGTAACATTCAAAAGAGCATTGCTGTGTTCCACTTAACAGACATAAATATTTTCTGTAACCAGTGAATATATATATCTGTTAACTTGGAATCAGTAAAATTAACTTTGAATTAGTATTGAACAACAGATTTATTTTTTCTGATATACTGTCTTGTGTCACAGCTGAGGGCAGCAAGAAATACAAACACATGCATATATTACTGACTTCACAAGAAGGATTCCTCTCCGATTTAAAGAAAAAATGTTTATAGACATTCATAAGCTAAATGGTTGTTGTTTAAGTTATACATGTGAAATGTATTGATGCTTTAGAATCCAAAAAAGAATGTCTATCTGGTTTGAAACTACAAGCATCACATGTAGTTTGTTAAATTGTTTGTTTTTTTTTTAGAAATGTTAGTGTTATCGGTGATTTAATATTCTTGAAAATGTGATCAAGTTGTAGTAATTCATTTAGGGAGACATTCAGCAATGTTGACTGTTCAGTTCTGTTTAATCCAACAATGCTTTTGTCCTTAACAAGCATGTTGTTTATGTTGTTTCGCTCATTTTGTTTCTTTTGCTTCATAATGTATAAGTTAGTATTGTTGTTAGAACAAGAGTAGTTATTTTTAGAATCAGCCAGGAACATTTTGACAGTGTCTCTTAAATTTTGTCATGGCTGTAAGAATTGAATATAAAGTTCTTGTTATCTCAAGTGTTAATATAAAAAACATTTGTATTGTAACTGATTGTTTTAACAGTAAATTCATATTTCTTCAATAAAATTATTTTCACAAACCTATAATTGAAATTGTGTGATAATATACAAGACATTTTGTAGGCCAAATATTTATTTGCTATACTAGAAAGGCTGCAGTGGTGAGTAGTCCTACTTTTTTTGCAAACCAGGTATTGGAAGAATTCAAGAATTCAAGCATTTATATTTATTCGTAATTCCACGGTTATTTTTTTACAGTACCATGTTTAACCAGATGATGGCGCCACAGGACCAGTTTACAACCTTTTTTTCTGTAATTGTTGCTAAATCAATATTTATTTTTTTAATGAAACAAAACTTCATTTATCGCATAATAATTTGTATTACAAAGGCATTTTAAATCAAACGGGTTTTTACGACAGCATGAGTATGTTTAAAACACAGCTGCGCGTGAACTGCAGTTAAACCGTCTCTTTTTTAGTCTAAACTGACCTCAGCAGTTCCGCGTACAAACCACACATTCCCCTCAGTGTATTTACTCTAATATACTTACCTCACAAATTTATATATATATATATATATATATATTTTTTTTTTTACTATTTACCAGCTGGCGTCGTAATGAGTGTGATACTTGGTGGGTTATTGTTTTGTTTGCTTGTTTGTTTTTGTGTAGAGGTGTTGGCTAGTCAGCTAACTTAACTTAAGCAGGTTGAGTTTGATTTTCGAGTAACGTTACTGCAACTTGCTAAATATTGTTTTGTACAGAGTCATCATTCAACATCGAAGATATTATAAAGTCTTCAGAAAGCCCAGGTATGACATGACTCATTAACGAGTTAACATTCATTATTTTACATTACATCTGATTTTAAATAATATAACTAACGTTAAGTTCAAAATAATCCTACTAAACCGACGAGTTTGTTACTTCTCACCTTTTACCCCATTACATGGTGAGGGCCTAACCCATAAACCAGATCTTTTTTCTCTGTCCACTCAATGGGATTTAATGCCTTTGCATTTCTTACAAAAACATTTGGTCTTTTTATAGGCTGGCGGGCAGAACCGAAACCAGCGGAGCTGTTAATCAAACTCAGGAAGCTGCAACAAGGTCAATTAGCCTCTTTAGACTGTAAATCAGTCAGTCAGTGTAAATCAACACATTTTATAAAGCAAAACTTAACACCCATATATTGATTTCAGCCAAAAAACACTTTGAAGATGAAGTAAAGGAAACTATGCTCCTCAGATGTGCTAGGAAGGAGGAGGAAGATGCATGTATGTATATACACAGTACCATTCATTTAAATGAGGGTAAAACAGTAAAGAGCAGTGTACTTTTTTGTTGCAGTAACTGCTGAAGCCCTACAGTTGGAGGGAACACTGAATGAAAAGGAAGGTACTCTAGCCTAAAACCAAACAATGAGCCCATAAATTACATAAGCTTTGTTATCAGATATATTTACAGTGTTAACACAAATACACTTGTCATAAAGAGTTAAACAGATCTCTGCAGCTTAAATGTGAGGACCTCCAGCTAGAGGCACAAAGGTAAGCATACTTGGGTATCTATACAACACTCATGGGTGTTTAGACACTTCAAATGGGAGCTGCTCACGTGTGAATCACAACAGGAGTCACCAACATTGAGCTTTGGTCTCAGGTCAATGAGTCTTGTAAAGGGTGTGTAATGTATTCACTCGATACCTTACACAAATCATATTAAAATAGGATGACGTTGAGAGCAGCATTTTGTCATTTTTTTAACTTAATGTTAACACAGAAATGTTTGTGAGACATACTAGACGGCACCATTTTATTTGATTTACGTTTTAACTTGTAACTCTTTAGGCAGCTTGAGCAGAACCATCAGAAAGAGGAAGTAGTAAAGCAGTACTGCTTTCAGATCCAGGAGACCAAACTTAAGCACAGAAAGATTCGGTATGACTTACTGTTTTTAACAGAGAAGGGAAATGTTTACATATCAGAAATAGACACGAGATGCTGTGTCATTTCTTAGAATACCATTGCATGTATTGCCAGTGCATCTATTGTAATGCCCACATTCAAACTGAAATGCCAATTCCCACTAGTTCAGCAGCACAAGCCATTATTGATGTTATCAGGAATAAATGACAATTATAAAATACAAGAGCATATTTTAATTATTAAGAGAGGCTGCTTTTTAAATTCTAACTTATTTTAAATAATCTAATTTCATTTTAGGATGAAGTTTGAGAATCAGCTTCAGCAATTAATGGAGCAGCATAAAAACCTGTCCACCGTCTTTGTAAGTGGCCTATGAGAATGGATATTAAACTAAAAGCAACTGAGCTTTCTTTATTTGTAATTGTAAAATGGAGAGTGCTTTATTCATAGAACAATAGAATTTTATAATAGCTTTTATGTTCCATTTTTTTTTTCAGACTCCACAAAGACTTCCAGCAGAAATACAGTCTGCAGAGTACACCACTGAGCAGCTGTTGAAGGCTGGTACGTTTTATACATTTTGTTCCATTGCTTAGTTTTTATGGTCCTCTGCAGTACAACCAGTGTGTAGTTGCGTGCTTAGTGGGACATTTGATCCGTTCTGGTTTCATTCAGACGTAGAAGTCAAATTAGTCCAGTCATATTTCCAAAATGACTCATTTGGCCAGTCAACAAGACCGTCACTGAATTCAGAATAGCAAATTAGCAGACTACTCTGCTGAATAAAGTTATGGCAGACATATTAAAGAGTAGCATGATATTCTGAATTGAGCCATTTTTTAAAACATCCTAAAGCTAGAGTACTTGCAATGATGGGATCGCACAGGAATGTAACCTCATACCCAAGTGTCTGTGGACCTAGAACTGAACTCTTAACATTGGACTGACAGTCCTTAAACAAGAGACCAACATCATCCTTACAGTAATCTGATTCTTTCCTGTGTGTTTGTGTGTCCATCCCTACAGAACAACAGAAGCTGGAGCAGTTGACCAAGCTTCTGGACGGGTTAAGCCACACCCAGAATGCAGAGATGCACATGGACACTTGTGAAAAAGCACCATGAATACCTCAAACTGATTTTGCGAACTTAAGCTGAGTATCTAATACCTTCAAACAAATATGAATTTTACAAAGAAGCAGCTTATATATTCTTTTCCATTCTGTTCCATTGTCCTAATTTAACTTGTTACCAACTGTATTGTCAACAAATGCTTGAACAAATACTGTTTAAAACCTAAATTAAACCATTCCGTACCTAGAAAATGAAAGTTTCTTAAACCATTTATTTAGAATGTGTAAGACACAATAAAAAAAGTTTGTAAACAAGTCTAAATTCCCCAGGATTTGCATTTATATAAAAAAAAATGTACTGATGACACTCTTATCAAAATTCAGTTCCATCACACTTCTAGATCAGATATTTCTCATTAGATCAGCTTCCAGTTTCCATAAATCAGTCCTATGACACATCCAGAGAGCATTCTGGAAAATCTTTGGTGTTCAGTAATACCGTTCTGTCTTAATTAAATTTTGCATTGACAAAATACAGGCTAAAGCTCAGTCCTGAGAATATCTTTATCAACCTAATGTTTTACAGTTTTTCCTGACAACACAGTTCATGCAGGAATGTACAGGTATAGTATGTCTGAAACCATTGTCCTGCAAGTTCTGATTGCCGGTGAAAAACAATTAATTCAAATCCACACCTCACATCACTTTCTCGACATTCAGGCCACTTTCTTGATAGCTCACTGTTGATAGAGGAAAGATGAATGAACAGGCCTCCTTTCTTTTTAATAACATCCCTTACATACTTTCCAGTCATCTCTTGACAGTTTCAGGTTCCACAGTTTTCTGTTCTTTGCCTTCAAAAGTGGCGTTGTCTACCAACCATCTCTGGTTTCCTTTATGCCAGTGATCCATTGGCGCATTCAGCACCAAAGCATAATTTCAGCATGACGTGTCCTGGGGCATTTGTGTGGTGTACTTTAAAGAGGGTGTGTTTTGGTGCCTTCAGAGTAGCATATCTCAGCTTCTGCCCAGACACGTTAATTTCCATTGGAAATTGTGCACACTTGTACATATACATCTTATAGAACTTAAAAGGTCCAGCAGAAAAAGAAAAAGCTGAGAAAGGCCTCTTGAAGTTCGAACCCTCCTTTGGCCTGAATTGTGTTTTTATGTTCTGTAGGGATGGTGTGTGATTACTGTTAAGAGGTATGCCCTGATACCTTATAAGGGCAAAGTGAATCATCTGTGGGCTCAGATTGGCACAGAGCGAGGAATATTCCTTCTGCTGCATCAAGAATCCTCATATTTTAGGTTGTGCTATGTTCGTGGACTGTTTATATGAGATCCATGGACCATGCACTGTAGATTACTAGTCATTTAGCAGACACTTATATCTGAAGCAACTTGCTTGCTTCTCCGTGTCTGTTCACAGGAGTATTGGGGATGTTTGGTACTTTTTTTAGAATGGTTTCAGGTTCTCTTTACAGTTCTCTGTGAGGAATATTGGCCCCTTCATCCATTTTTATCCCAGGTTATTCCCCATCTGTTGAAGCAGAGTGACAGATACGTGAGTGAATCATCCTACTAATCTCTCATCCATTAGCCCACAAATAGTACAGGAGATTCTGTTATAGTCTATTTAATTTATTTCTATCATAAATTAAAACAAATAGATTGGAGGTTGCAAACAAACTCATATTTAAATGTCATGTCATTTAACAACACTGAATTACTTTTGAAATTTAAATTTACATTCTTACATTCTAGGCATACCACAAAAGAATGTAAAGTCAAATAATAAATAAACATGTAAAAGGAAAAATATAATTTGTCAATAAATATACCTAGACATGAAATGCTACATTAGGTGTTTTGCTCAGAAATGATATACTTCATATATAAGATATAAGCACAAATAAAATATACGTTCACTTCAAATATTGTACAAGGATCTCATGTGATTGATCTAATCAGACTTTGCTCTGCCTTCTCTACATTTCCCTGGTCCCAGCAACACTCTTCTCGGTTACGATAAAGTACCTCGAAACGACTGTAGACTTTCTTTTCTTTGCGCATGCTCTCTATTCTCTTCAGCAGATTGTCCCTCTCCTGTGGGTTGACTGGAGTTCGGCTGAACCGGTTCCGGTTTTGAAATTGGAAGGATGAATTGGAAACTTCTTCTTCCTTGCCCCCCTCGACTTTCCCAGACTCTTCAGTCTTCTGTCTATTTTTCTGGCTATTTGCAGAGATTTGCTCTAGGATCACCTTGGTATCATCCCTGAGGTTGCTGCTAAATATCACATTTGAGGTAGAGGACTGATAGCGTGATGGAGTTGGTTTAACATTGGGTTTGTTGTTCTCTACTATGGTTGAAGATGATATGGATTCAGATGGTTTCTCTTTGTCTGAGGGCTCCTCTTGGATCTCAGGGACTGTTTTCATTGACTTGTCCTCTTGAGAGTTGGAAACTCCTGAGTGCTTCTTTTCTCCCTTTGGCCCAAGGAAACCCTTTAATCTCTGTGTTTGTTTCTTGAGGAAATCAAGGGCCTTTGTATCTTTGCCATCAGAGTTCCCAAGGTTTAGGGAGCTCAGGCTTTCTTTGGACTCTGCACGGGTGATGCCCGATGAGCTGAAGCTGCGAGACTTCTTAAGCTCACTCTTTTCAGCATCTGTTGCATCCGTAAGAATATCTTCGCCGCATGAGATTCGACGATGAGAAGATTGAGAGGCTTTGAATGGTTTTAAGAACTTGGGTGATGGGAAAGGCCGAAGTGACTTTGTTGGTTCCTTAGCTGGCTCTTTCTTTGCTGCATCAGCTGTGCTCTCCGTCAGAGTTTTGCTGTTCGTGAGCGGCCTGTCCACACAGACTTCAGATGGTTTTGTTGCAATCACCAAGCGCTGTGGTACAGGATCTGAAAGCGTAATCGTTGGCTCTTGTATCTTTACAGAGGACTCCACTGATGTAACAAGCACATTTGGACCTGTGGTTGCTGTATCAGTGAGGTTTGGCTTTTTCATGGCTGTTTCTCGACTTTTAGTACCCAAATCTAACTCTAATTTTGAGTTCTTTCTCTTTTCTTCCAAATCTTTGAAGTACTGAAGTCTGCTTGCTGGATCATTTATGTTTAGGGAAGAAGTTGTTTGCTGAGATCGCAAAGGCTCTGTTGGCTGTGTAACTTCATTGTCCTCAGGTTCAGGGTTGTCAGGTTTCTCAGGTTTCTCCTTTTCTTTGATAGGCTCCTCTTTGGCATCTGTGATCGTAGTCAGATCTCCTGTTGATGCATTTATAACCTCTTTTTCTTCTGCTTTTTTATGCTTATTCCAGTCAAACGGCTCTCTTGACAGCGACCTCCTCTTCTCCAGAAGCTCTGCTACAATAGATGAGTATCGAATAGGCTCACTCTCATCTTTCTCCTCTTGTAACTCCCCACCAGACTTAGCTTGCGAGGAGCTGTGTTGCTCCAGCTTTGAGGAGCTGAAGATTAAAGAAGACCTTAGTCTTGAGCTCCTTTGCAGCATTGGGTTAATTCGAGATCGGAAAGACTCATGCTTGGTAATGCTGATTTCCCTGGGTTCCCTCAGTTCTGGCTCCTTCTCATTGTCTGTTGAAGATGCTAGTGATGAAGCTGAAATGGCTGGCTTTAATGTGTCAGTACTTGTGGGACCCAGGTCAGAGCTAATGTCTTTCACTTGATTCCTATCTTTTATGATGGGTTTACCATAGCGTGGCCGCAAATCAAGGTTTGGCTTAGTTGGGATGTTTGGACGCTCTCTTAAATGAAAGCCTGGTCCCTCTGAGCCATAATGTCTGCTGTCAGGTTGTTGATGTGGCTCATCAAAGGCATCTGGACCCATTGGCTGATGCAGGCCCTCCTCTCCTGAAAGAGCATATGTAAACTAAAATTTAGGGTCACACTTTATTTTAAGGTCAGATTCTCGCCATTAACAATGACTTGACAATAAACAATGAAACATTAACTATGATTTTTGCCTTAATAAACTACTAATTTGCTGCTTATTAATTAGAAAGGGGGTTGTTAAATTTAGGTATTGGGTAAGATTAGGGATGTAGAATATTGTCATGCAGAATATGTGCTTTATATGTACTAATAAACAGCCAATATGTTAATAATAGGCATGCTAATAATTAACTTGTTAATAGTGAGAAATGGTCCCTCCCTATACTAAAGTGTTTCCAAAACTAGCTATTACATTTTTCCCCTTTGTTTTTACCAATAGTAATTCTTCTTTTAAATTCAAAAAGTGTTTAAATTTGAGCACAAGCATGTTTGTTGTAAGCTATTTTTTATGTAAGAACAAGAAAAAAAAGCCTTTTAATACCAGAATACAATAACAAATATATGTCTTTTGGACTACTTTTTATCATTTACCATACAAAAGATCCAGGAAGCACAAATTCTGAATGCCTAGCCAGTGTTTTAAATGTGCATATTACATGTTGCATAGCACAGATGTAAAATCACCAGTCAGTCAACAAGTGTATTATGAAATATTATTATGACCCCAAAAAAACATACTACTGCAGTGCATGCTAGTATAGATCGACCTGCTGAAAAACTAGCTGCTTGACTCATTGTGTACATATGAAATTCCTAGCTGTTCTGTGATCTTCCAGACAATGACCCCTAAGCAAGGTTAGGCCCCAGTATGAAGGTTTTTGTAGGTTGTGGGCTCTTGTGTACATTTGTTTGTATTTTAGACGTCACCATGGAAACAGTTAGTCTGTTGGCGAATGACTCATTGTGGGCAAGAGGGGAAGCGAAAAGACACCAACCGAAAGGGAAAAACTCAAGAAACATGTGACTGAATCAAAGAAGGGAGTGTTTTGCTGAAGCACTTTTGAAAGAGACTCGCTGAGTTAACTGCACATTAGAATCAGACTTTGAGCAGGTGGTAAATTAACTAAGACTTGCTGTGGCTGATTCATAACATGTCCATTACATAATGTAAATTCCTACATGCACAAGAGATTCTTAAACATTCGCTAACAGAAATGTTATGGAATTGTATTTATGTATATGTATATACATATATATATTTGCATCTACTCATGACTTGCCTTGATTATGATCAGTTTTCTCATCTAATCTGAAACCTGCGCTGTCAGCATGTTTCTTTATGAGAGTTGACACCCAGACCAGTAAATCATGTTGGAGTGGATTCAACCAAGATTACCAGACAATGTACTGCTTCACTGTTAATGTCTCCTTTTATTAAAACTGAACTTTATTTAAGCCTTTAATCTTTATTTAAATCTATTACTGCAATGATTGACCGATAATTATAATTCAAGCTTGTTTGTATTGGTTTCGCAAATGGATGGCAAAATGTGAAGAAAAAAAAGAGCCCAAGAGTCATGTTATGAAATTACAGTAAGCCAGAGCAGTCTTAGTCTTATAGTCTACATTTCAATTTGCACATAATAATATACCTGTACATACAACTGTCTATTGTTATATACCTGTACATACAATTGTCAATTTTTATATTTTTTATTCCTTATTTTACTTGTTCTATTTTTTATTTTTTCTGTTATGTCACTGTCATTCTGTTACACTGTGGAAGCTTCTGTCACGAAAACAAATTCCTTGTATGTGTAAACATACCTGGCAATAAAGCTCATTCTGATTCTGATACTGATACCTGCGGGTCTACTCTGCAACTGCCAATAGTCATATAAATCAATTTTACTTTTCAAGAAGATATGTTTTCATATACATGTCTGCACACACAGACATCATTCATGTACATAACATTCTTTTTAAATTGAAGAACAAGACCATAACGAGAAATACCTATGCAGAAAATGCTTTACATTCCTGAGATAACCTTTACAATAGGCAGTGAGACTGACATATAACAGGTAGTCAGTGTTTCGGTAGCTTACTTTTTGCAATAGTCTTAATCATTTTCAGCAAACAAAAAGAGATTTTTGCATAAACAAATATTGTTTAAAATGAACCCTAGACATTTGATGAATATTTGGCCCATTGTGAATTTCTATTATATTTACAGCTGCAATAATTTTTGTGATATTCACAGGCAGAATAAAGGAAATACTGAATTTATATAAATGTCTATATTTGGACACTGACTTAATGTTTTATGTTATGTTGGTTATTTGCTGACATTAAAGTTTTTTTATTTTATTTATTGGTATCGGCCGATGTTGTATATATGCATACTCATTTCCTCCATTTTTACCTTAAAGAGATAGTTCACCCAAAAATGACAATTCTGTCATTAATTACTGACCGTCATGTCGTTCAAATCATTACGGTTGAACCCCTGATTATTTTACCGATCTCCTTGCTACTTTTCTGGACGTTGATCGTGGTAATTACATTGCTGTCTATGAGAGGGTCAGAGAGCTCTCAGAATGCATCAAAAACATCTTAATTTGAGTTCCAAAGATGAACGAAGGTTTTAGGGGTTTGGAACGACATGAGGGCGAGTAATTAATGACAGAATTTTAATTTTTGGGTGAACTATCCCTTTAACATTAACTATGCCATCACCTAATCCTCACTTATATTAATATTTTGGAAATGCTAAAAATTTAATAACGCTGTTAAATGTAATCTTTGCAAATCGGAATGTATTCATTTTTCATATTGAATAGAATAATGTTGTTATGCCTGAATTCAATTTTAATTAAATAATTTTAATTTTAGCTTTTAAAATGACTGATTTTAGTGTGTGAGGGGGTATTAGACAAAAAAATTATTTTTTTTCAGTTATTAGCCATAATATGGAAATAACTATAGGTGTATTGATATCAGCCATAATATTGGTGCTGCCTTAATCCTGACGTACATAATAACTCTGCAACATCAAATTTGATCAGTTCATATCCAACACATTTGTGACACTTAATCTAACGTGTATCGATCTAAAGACCACCAACAGGTTTTAGATATTTTTTATCTCAGGCCTACATGGAAATCATGCTAGATTTACCCAAATTCCCATTTCTGCCACTGATCAATTACTAACAACACCCTCTTAGTATTTTCCCTAAAAAAAGAGCTTTGTTTTTTATAACTCAAGCTCAACCATATGTAGGAAATTATGAAATATGAGAGAACGCACATGTCTGTTCATGGTGTGGTTCACCTGGGCCTCACCCACAAAAAGAATCAGTGCAAGTTCATGGATTTACATGGATAGATAATTTAATATTTAGAGTTGTGCAATGTTTTAAGACCATGAAGGCACTGTGAGGAGAAGACATCCTGAACCAGTCCCTAACCAAAGTCCTACTTGATAACAAAGGAACAATTCTGTGCACCCAAGACACTGAACCATCACATTTAAAAGATCAATAGTAGACTTAACCTTTAATAAAATACGTGTAATTCATAGATTTAAAAAAGTTTATGAAAAAAAACTGCCATTATTTTCACACAGCTGTCAAAACTTCACTCCATCAAGTTCAAAACGATTGTTCAAACAAGTTATATAATTCTCAGTTGTTTTAATGTTTACTTCAAAAGTCTGTCAAATGGGCTGCTATAGTATGTAGAGTGTACACAGTCCCGAATCTCTATCAGATTACAGTGCAAACAACGTTTAAGAATAAAAATAGCTTTCAGCTCAAGCTCGTAGGGAGTTTCTTCTGCACTGTCAACGTTCATCTGCTCATTCACATTATGTGACTCGTCTTTTTGAAGGCTGAGACTACTGGGTTGTTCTTACCTTTACGTTTGGAGTTACTTGCAGTCGCCCGTAAAGAAACTTTTTTCCGTTCCGAAAAAGTCGGCTATTTTCACCCCGTTCAGCGAACGCATCCGCGGTACATTCCTGGTGTCGGTGAAACCCCACCCAAAGCTATTCAGCTTGAAGGCGAAAAGCAGCCCTGGCGAAACCTGTTCGCGTTCGGCCGAGTCCTGCCCGCCGAACGTCTCAGCCCCGTTAAGATAACACAGCATTCGGTGAGCAACTCAACCCTTTGAATTTCAGTCGTGAAGCTCCTCCCAACCATCGCCGGCGTCACCGCTCACCTACAGGAGACAGTTACTACAAAACCGACAACTAGGCTATAAAGCCGAATACAACACGAATAAAGCCGAATAGGGCTTTTACAGCAGGCTTTGTTACAGTTGATACATTTGCATAACCGGCAAAACACGAACAAATTTGCTCGCGCGCACTCCATATCCCAGCTCACCCTGCTCTTCCACAGCGAGCAGACAGACAGATGGTGGATTGTTACTCATAGGACAAAGGCGCACCCAGGTCATTATCAAGCTGAAGAGTTTTTTTGTTGTTGTATTTGTATGTCTGGTGGTACAGATGGTATAGAAGATAAATTATTTATTAGTAGTTCATGATTTAAAACTCTCTATTTCTGTAGAATAACGTGTCTCTAAAGGGCACATCAAGTTGCTGTGCAAATGTGTAAACAACTTTACCAACCAAAGCCATCTTAAAATCCTATTAAAAGCTAATGTGTTGTTTTTATCAAAGGATTTTTCCTAACATCAAATACACAGTCATTTCTCCCTTTCTTTTTCCATAAATAATATATGATATTAAATATTTTGTATTTACTCTCTATCTATACGTTTAGATTTTATAGTGGACATTATATTTTATTTCAAATACTTTTAAAGGTTTTTCCCTAGGTTATGTGAGAACTCAAAGAGAAGTAATTCATATTTTCTTTTATTATTTTCACTCACATATACTAGAGACTTACATATACAGGTCTTAAATAGTCAATATTTGTGCAATGATTTTGTATAGTGAACAACAGATTAAATTGATTAAACCATTGAAAACACATCCTCTTTTTAACAAACACATTATTTAATATACACATGAATTTGAGCAGCTGTGCTTAAATTAACTGT